CTATTTTGCCAGGGTACTAAGAGAACGGCTTAAATTTATCAATTTACCAAATCCGCAGTATCTGTCTTTAAACAAAGACACAAACTTTCTCTAAATCAAAATATACTTCTTAACAATCAATCTTTTACATTTAAAAATCATGTGTCAAATACCTGGGCCTTATACTAGATAAAAAATTGACTTCAAAACAACACTTACAATATATGCTGGATAGATGCAACAAAGGTAGTAATTTTCTTTGATGAATGACAACTAAAGTGTAGTGGGGTTGCGATGTTGAAACATCCTTTTTGTTTTACAGAGCTTATATACGATCCATTATAGATTATGGTGCTACTCTTTATGGTTCTGCGTATAGAAATCTACTAAGAAAAATTGATATTTTTCAAAATTCTGCCTTAAGGGTCTGTTTAGGTGCTATGAGATCTACCCCTATACAACCACTACATGTTTAAGCTTAGGAGCCTCCTCTTGCGATTAGAAGAAATTTATTAAGCGAAAAATGGGTACTCAAAGCCCACTCAACAAATCCCAAATTATTTTCCAGTAAACGTCAACTTAACGAATCAGATCTCACTCACAAATATTGGATTAAAAAGCCATCTCCACCTTTGTGCAATGCTTTACAGAACAATTCTATTTTTTCAAAAAATTGGGCAAAGTGGACACAATTTAGACTTCTTTGCTCTCTTTCTTAAAACTGAAGTTATAATGCCCACACATAGTGACAACAACAAATTGAGCAACAATATTCTGAGATCTGTTTTGAACTGTTATAGTGATGTCACAGTTATATACACGGACGCATCTAAATCAATAGAGGGGACTGGCTGTGCCTATTTTCTACCCTCACAAGGTTCTGAATTTAAGTACAAACTTTCCAATGAGTTTTCAATTTTCTCGGCTGAATCATTAGACGTACTCGAAGCTTTGAAATATGTTAAAAAACTCTTATATTAAAAAATCGTTAATTCTTTCAGACTGTCTTTCAGTTCTACAGAATATAAAAAACACTTTTTTGCCCAAAACATTTAGTAATTCTAATATTTTTTTAATAGTGGATCAATTAAAGCAGACTCTGACTTTAATACAAAATTTATTTGGGTTAAGGCACATATTGGACTCAAAGATAACGAATATGTAGATTATTTAGCTGAAACCAGTATAATATCAGGTACTTTATTGTCATATTCTTTATGTGTATCAGATGCCATTACGCTTAAAAAAACAGCTATCGACATGAAAAGATCAATGGAATCCTTACTGCTTTACAAACTAAACAGGATACACCACTTTACAACCAGTTATTCCACAAACTACTTGGTTTAAGAATTTGAAATCTCCACGTAAATATATAACCACCATAAATAGACTATGCTTTGGACATGCGTGTTATCCAAGTCATTTATAATAAATAAATGTGGTTGAAGATGACAATTGCAAACATTGCGGGAAACTGGGTGATCTTGATCACACCTTTTTTGAATGTGAAGTTTCAACAGAATTCAAACTCTCTATACAAAAAATTAATTGAATTTAATATGCATGCACCATTAAATATCCAGTCGCTACTGGTTCACAACAAATATATAATATGATTATAGATTTCTTGTCAGACACATGCATGGTTCTATAGAATTTGTACGGGAGCATGGAATTTTTCATGATCGTGTGAAAATTTAAATTTGTATCCTTTGTTTACCCTCAATGTTATAACACCTTATCCGTGATCCAGTTTTGTTGGTCTACTAAGAATGTCTTGATGGACCCCTAGACGAGAGAAGCAAGTGACACTGTAAGTTTTCTTGTCGTATATTGTTAATTATTCGTTAGTTTTCTATTAGTGATAGAGTTGTGCATTTATCTGATTGGAAAATCTATTGCAACTGGCAGGATGACTAATAATGTCTATGCGATTAAAAAAAAATTTCTGAAGCATAAATGGCGATACGAAATATCAATGCTTGAACAAGGTAATTTTGTGTTTTTTTGTGATGTCAGTGTCCTTCCAAATTTTTATGAGTTTGGCTGTTGCCGATCTAGTCATTGTGATGCGTCGACGTATTTCGTCTTTGGATCCTCCACTGGTTAAACCGCAAAAAGTTTAAGCCAAGAATAAGGAGCTGTAAGGATGTAGAAGGAAACATCCTAAATGATACTGCCTCAATCCTAAACAGATGGGTTGGATTTTTCGATGCAAAATTTAATGGCCATCATATCGAAGAAGCAGATAACAACCTAGCAAATCGAAATGATTGGAATCCTTTCAACCCAAACGAAAGACCACCTACCATCGAAAACGTTGCCCAAGCCATTAAAAAGCTTAAAAATAATAAATCACCAGGAGTTGTGCATTTATCTGATTGGAGAATCTATTGCAACTGGCGGGATGACTAATAATGTCTATGCGATTAAAAAAAAGTTTCTGAAGCATAAATGGCGATACGAAATATCAATGCTTGAACAAGGTAATTTTGTGTTTTTTCTGATGTCAGTGTCCTTCCAAATTTTTATGAGTTTGGCTGTTGCCGATCTAGTCATTGTGATGCGTCGACGTATTTCGTCTTCGGATCCTCCACTGGTTAAACCGCAAAGAGTTTAAGCCAAGAATAAGGAGCTGTAAGGATGTATCAGGAAACATCCTAAATGATACGGCCTCAATCCTAAACAGATGGGTTGAATTTTTCGATAAAAAATTTAATGGCCATCATATCGAAGAAGCAGATAACAACATAGCAAATCGAAATGATTGGAATCCTTTCAACCCAAACGAAAGACCATCTACCATCGAAAACGTTGCCCAAGCCATTAAAAAGCTTAAAAATAATAAATCACCAGGAGTTGATCAAATTTGCAGTGAGCTCTACAAGAACGGTGGCGATGCCCTACTACAGACACTACATAAGCTTTTACTTCTTGTTTGGCATAATGAGAGCATGCCTTGTGAATGGTCTTAAGGCGTGATATGCCCGTTACATAAAAAAAGGTGACCAGCTCCAGTGTGACAACTATAGAGGTATAACCCTGCTTACAAAATACTAGCAAATATTCTTTACGAAAGGCTGCAAGTTTACACAGTGGGCATAGTTGGTAAATATCAAGCTGGATTCACTCCAGAAAAATCAACAATTGACCAGATTCATTCAATAAGACAGATTCTCGAGAAAACATTAGAATTCAATATTGAAACCCATCACCTATTCGTCGATTCAAGGCCGCATACGACAGTGTCAAGAGAACAGTGCTATACCAATCAATGCATGAGTTTAGTAGACCAGAGAAACTTATCCGACTAACGAGAATAACAATGTCTAACTTAGAAGCCACTGTTTGAATACAGGGAGAGAGTTCTAGATCCTTTGAGATAAAGGATGGACTCAGACAAGGGGATGCTCTGGCTTGCCTCCTATTTAATATTGCCTTAGAAACGGCAGTCCGAGATACACGAATTAGGGATGGCGGTACTATTTACAATAGATCGATACAAGTCTTAGCATTTGCTGATGACATTGACATATTAGGGCGTAGCAAGCGAGATGTTGAGCAATATCTCCTAGAATTGGAAACAGCGGCGAAACAGGTCGGTCTAGTCATCAACGAAGACAAAACCAAGTACATGTTGGTTACAAAGGAATCGATAGCAAATGAGGAACAAGAAACAATCTTTGGAAGTCATACCTTTGGACGTGTTGATAACTTCACATACCTTGGGTCGCTGTGGACTGCTACCAATAAAACAAGCGAAGAAATCAAAAGACGAATAAATCTTACAAATAGGGCATACTATGGACTCCAAAAGTATTTCCACTCAAGAAACATTCAAAGAAGAACTAAAATTATTATATACAAAACATTGCTGAGGCCGGTCCTCACATATGGAGCAGAAACATAGACTCTAACGCAGAAAGATGAAAGACTTTTGAGAATATTTGAGCGTAAAATACTCCGCAAAATATTTGGAGCTGTAAACGACCAAGGGCAGTGGCGCAGAAGATATAATTTTGAATTGTATCAGATCTTTGATGAGCCAGATGTCATAAACGTTCATTAAAACACAGCGACTTAGATGGGCTGGACAAATAATACGAATGCCAGAAAATACGATTGCTAAAAAGCTAACCACAGGAACACCTGTAGGAAAAAGAAGCAAAGGCCGATCGCGAATTAGGTGGTTAGATAGAGTTGAAACCGCCTTACGAATATTAAAAATCAGAAGATACATGTTGCCAAAAACCGAACAGAATAGCAACGAATCTTAGAGCAGGCCAAGATCCACAGAGGATTGTCGAGCCAAAGATGATGATGATGATCCTCCAGTGTTAGTAATTATGGAGCCTATATGGTTAACTCCCTGATATTTAAAATTGTTTTCAAGAAATATACTATTTTCCAGTTTATTAGAATACCCTCAGGCTACTGTTTTAAATTAATTAATAGTTTGTAAGACGAAGAAGTGTTATAAATCAAAGTTTTCTAGCAAAAATTCGCTTTGACAATAAAAGGTTAAGGAATCCAAGTGCCATACAAAATGACAATATAAAAAATTAAAATATAATATAATAAATTTCAAAATATATATCTCGCGTATATATTCGTCCTTAAGACGGACAAATAACATCACGGATTCAACACAAACCATATGTAGGAATGTCAAAGAAATGGTTTACTTTAACTTAATTTAAGTTCGAGAATAAACTTAAAAATGTCTGATATGGAAGCGAAAACGTCAAAATTTTTAGTTCGTAGCCAACAAAATAGTTGGGTGAGAAATATTTTTTATTTATATATTCGTGTCCTACTGCTTGAAATTGAATAATGAATGCTGATTAGGTTTTTAATTATATTGGTTAAAAAATTTATTGTTTGCTCAGTTTTTTACGAGCATCAGATTATGTAATAAGTGTTATAAATAAAAACACAATAACGAGGAAATAACATATGTAACAGATTTTTATAAATTTCGGAAGTGCTAATGTGGTTCTAATTAATAAAAAACTTACGTCTTCCATTATGTAATCCAAATTTAAGATATCGTTGTTGAAGCAATCCGTCAACCATCTCGCACATATGTCTTTATAGGTATATTCTACATCATCGTACGTTATCGTCATGTTCTGAATGTACCCATCCAACAATCGCAATTCCTTCCAAACGTTGACTCTTAGCATATTTTTATCGCCATCTTTTGAGGTTAGGATCACTCTTCCAAAACGACCTAAAAACACAACAAATTATAAAATTATTATCAGTAGGTAATGATACCGCTGGTTAGAAATTACGTGAGAGAATGGTAACCGTTTTGATTTAATATGAACGAGAATGCCATTTAGCGGGTATATAAATATTTACCGGACATTCAAAGGCTTTAAATTTCTAATTTTAGGAAATCATTTGACTTTTGTCGATGAAACTTGATACTAGACAAGTAATCAAAAGTTATTCTTCCAATACAAAACATAATTTTTTAAAATACAACTTTATACAAAAAATAGGTTACTATTAATCGTCACTGAAAATCACTTCCAAAACTTAATTTTTGTCAAAATTGAACATAAACTTCAGACTCGTAAAAAAACTTTATATACTTTTATACCAATTCTAGAGCTAGAGATTATTTCTTCATTTTTGCTTTTCAATATTGCTAGCCTTTATCTTAATTCTAAGTTTAATTCTAAATTTTAATAAGTTTGAATGCCTTATTATTTATTCACATTTTTGTTCCCAGTCTCCGAGTTTTTTTTTTCAAAAGCACTTATTTGCTTATACGTATTTCGTTCTCTCAGGATTCTTTAGAGCGACTGTGCAGAAGGCTTCTGATGCAATGAAGCTTCTCGCTTTTCCTTTTTAAACTTGTTTTAAATCTTTCTACCTTCATTACTGATTCATATTTGTTTAAATTGAATTTTAAATTATATTAGTATAATTATAGCAGTATCTATCAATCCATTATTCATCTGAAACTTTTCATAAAGTTGTCATGTACTTTTGGAAACAAAAGTACATGACAAAAGTATTTTTTAAATTACCTTTCTACATCAGTATAGACATGAATTTAATTTTCAAAAGAATAAGATTAATACTCTTTTACACCTACTTATTTTTTTATTATTCCAGTTCTCGGCATAGTAGACATTTTGTTCTCTCCATAGTGAATACTTTTAGAATCATATTATTAAAGTTATTTTTAAAACGTTATTGTCCGTCTTTGTAGCAATTGTAGTTGTTAGTGCTATTTTATCTTTCTTACTGGTCTCGCTCTCTTTATGTTTTATTTATTTCTGTTTGATTCGTTAATAGCATTGTCTCCAAATTCTCTAATATTTTTGGTTTCCCTTTAATCGCCACCATCTTGTGAATCAATATTTGTGAAACTTTACTCATTATTTGTAAGATGCCTCGATTACTTCCCGTCTATTTATCAATTACTTCCCGTCAATTATTGGTGCAGTTTTCAATTGGCAAAACACATCTCAAATTGGAGCTAGTTTATCTACAGCTTGTATGGTGTCTCGTGTATCACAGTGATCAAAATGTATGGTACCAAAAATTTATAAGGTGATAAAACCTCACCAACTACAGGGGGTCATATAAGATGCCCCCAGTTTCATTTTTTATTATTACACAATTTAAGAGTCTATTACATTTACCTGAATAAATAACATGAAGATTGTTTTTTAAATCCAGATGTCCATCGAATGTTTTTTATGTGGCCACACAATGTTTTTTCAACAACTTTTTATTAAAATGATGATGGAATGATGCAATTCCGAAAAGATCTTCTTTATAATAAAAAATTTTAAGCTTTTAATAAGCGCTTTTTTTATATCTTAATACACACGAACACCACGTGCTTTGTATGTATTTAAATGTTCATGACATTCCATAATGTGCTAGATAGTCAAATTTTGACGAAGTAAATCTAAAACGATATACATTTTTTATTATCCATAAACTTTGAGAGTTTATGAAGATTTAATAAAATAACTGTGCTTGATATCTGCCTTTAATTTGTAAACTACTAAATTCGCAGTTTAAATGAGAAGTTGTTACAACAAAAGCAAAACATTCAAGTAAAAGCACTATATTCAATAGGAAGAAAAATAAGGTGGAGTAAGAAACGAGAATATTATATATAAGATAATGGCACGATAGTTAAGACATAATACCATCGAGTAAAAGGAAATATAACGACTATGCAATGAGAATAGAGCTGGTCATTCTAATCGCACATATTATTATTACTATTACCTACGCACGTAGGTCCGTAAGCAAACAAATAAAAAAAATGGTCGCAAAAGCTTGATAGATTTCATTATTTATATTTTACTTATTTAGGGCCACAGAAAACATTAGCATAACCACTGATTCACATTGTCTTCTGATTTAAACTAGTTAAGATCTCCAAAAAAACACACTTGAGGGCAGTAATAACTTTTTTTACTATAACATTTTGCAGATCCTGTTTAAACTGGTAAAATATTTATTTCGATATCTCTCAAGTGTTAAGCACTAAGCAACTATTGATATAGTAGTCGCTTTAATTTAATAATAATTATAGTTCCAGTAAGGACTTCTTTCCTAACTAATATTCATATAAAATTATGTTTTAACATGCAACAAATTAACTATATATACCAGTTTAAGCACAAATGAGCTGTAAAGTGAATTATCAATTTGTGTAATAATAAAAAACTAGTAGTTTTTACCATAAGATTTCGAAAAAGTATTTTTTGTATGCTGATATGGTGAAAAATATTTATTGTAAGTCAGTTTAAATTTTTTTTTGAATGTATACTTGACACACTTTGTCGTGTTCATTTTAATAATACCTGATTCTATATTATAGTATATTTGTAGATGAACGAAGAATCACCGAATTTGAGTTGTATATAAACAACAAACAAATCAGTTCTTGAGTAGGAATAACTCACCCTCTAGCTTCCTTTGTGCAAGAATATTATACTTTTTTGTTATATTACTCATGGCAACGCTATAAGAGGCTATTGTTCTACGCAAAACTCAAGAAATATATAAGTAGGAGGCGCTCTCCAACCAGAAGGTCTAAAATGTCTGAGTGGAGCAACTACCAGAAAGTTGGCGAGTGCTGTACGATCAACTAAGATTAGAGGAAGATGGATTACCAGGAACAAAAGAACAGCAAGAAATTTGGAGAAATATGGAGTAACGTGTTTGAAATAAAACACTTAATCTAATTTATTTAAATCTATTTATAGTTATGCTTAAAGCACGATATTATCTTATCAACTAACTCCTAAAAACAGAAATATATATACATATATATATATATATATATATATATATATATATATATATATATATATGCTGTCACTATTTTTCCGGGTTTGACTCCGCGTTGTAAAATGCTGGTTTTCTTGAAAACCATTGTTTTGGCGACGTTTCGGCAAGGTCTCACTTGCCATTCTCAAACCTGGTGGATCTACTTCTCGTCGTTACTCGATTAGTACTGGTATCAATACTGGTCCAGTACTAATCGAGTAATGACGAGAAGTAGATCCACCAGGCTTGAGAATGGCAAGTGAGACCTTGCCGAAACGTCGCCAAAACAATGGTTTTCAAGAAAACCAGCATTTTACAACGCGGAGTCAAACCCGGAAAAATAGTGACAGCACATTTAGCTCCCGCGGAAACCTCAAAACAAACATATATATATATATATATATATATATATATATATATATATATATATATATATATATATAATTCTTTGGAGGGTAACTTTCGGGAAAGCGTCAAAACAAGGATCAGCTAGAGATGGTATAAGCCAGTTTGGTTTAGAACTTTATTCTAAATGTGAAATTTTCGGTGATTTCACATTAAGAATAAAGTTCTACACCAAACTGGCTTATACCATCTCTAGCTGATTCTTGTTTTGACGCTTTCCCGAAAGTTACCCTCCAAAGAATTGTATTCTTAGCGTCGTTATACACACTCTATTGAAACACTCAATACTCCGGGAGTATTGGGTTTTTTTTTTGGATGTGTAGAACTTCCAAATTTCAGAAGAACTGAAAGAGAAGTGATGAGAAAAAAAAAATACTATAAATAGGGCTAAGCTCAGAGGAACAAATTTAAATGGCCAAAGAGACACTAAATCTCAAGTGAGTGTTCGGGCTAGCTTCAATGCACTGGATTGTGGCTTTAAAGATATAACCAACAATAACAAGAGATAATGAGCTAATGAGACAAGAAAGAAATGAGACCTGGTAATATCAAACGTGATACAACTGAAGAAGGTCACTGGGAATAAATTTATAGAAAGAAAACAATAAGAAGAGAAAAGAAGGGCGCCAACTCAACGATATATATATATATATATATATATATATATATATATATATATATATATATATATATATATATATATATAATTCTTTGGAGGGTAACTTTCGGGAAAGCGTCAAAACAAGGATCAGCTAGAGATGGTATTAGCCAGTTTGGTTTAGAACTTTATTCTAAATGTGAAATTTTCGGTGATTTCACATTAAGAATAAAGTTCTACACCAAACTGGCTTATACCATCTCTAGCTGATCCTTGTTTTGACGCTTTCCCGAAAGTTACCCTCCAAAGAATTGTATTCTTAGCGTCGTTATACACACTCTATTTATATATATATATATATATATATATATATATATATATATATATATATATATATATACTTCATCTAATTTACATGCCGATGCACGTCATTATCTACGTCAGAAATCGAAGTTGACATAGTTGCCAAAGTATAAAAAAATCTTGACTCCATTTTAAATCAAATAGATCACATAATTATTGCAAAAGTATTACCATCTCTTTACAACGACTATTTAAATTCTTACGTGACATTTTTGATATAAAACACACTTTTTTTGTTCTAAAAAGAACAGATTTTATTAAATAGGTAAAAATGTAAAACAAGAGTTATTCACTTTAAAATTCAAAATAATAAAGTACGAAAAGTGTCAACACCACAACTGTCACATAAGTGTTACCAATGTATGCCAAAGTTTCACCTTCGTGCGTTTACAGTTACAGTGTGATCCGAACAAATGTTCTTCATAAAAACGCTTTATAATGCATTTATACAAATTAAATGAAACATATTATTGTGTATTTCTTTAAGTTAACATTAAAAGAAATTTTTAAATATTATTTCTACGCGTATATAATAAAATATATCTAGTGGC